AAGACTGTCATCTTCAGCAATGTGGGAATGATTTCAGCCTTTAAGGAGAGTGTTTTGTTCAGTCTGTGAGCAGCACTGGAGCAAAGGCATTTCTGCAGTGGCACATGGATCATTTGCATTGGTCTGGTTTCTGTATTGACAAAGCATCGTTGTGGCATTGGGTGATTTAGCAGATCATGGGCTGGGGTGATTTTGGGGTTCCTTGGGCACAGCACAGTGCTCTCTTGGCTCCTTTGGAAGTGGGCTTGTGTAGTTGGGGGTAAGAACATGAGTGGAGGGTGTTCTGGTGTTCTGCCTTGTGTGTCACAGGGCTCCAGAGTGCAAAACAGGTGTAAAGCTGCCAGAGAGTGACCAAAGCAGGGACACAGGGATGGGGAAGGGTCTGCAAGGGCCATGTGAGGGCACTGGGATTGTTCACTGGAGGAGACTGAGGGCAGAGCTCACCAGGGCTGCAGCTCCATCTCTGCTCTCTGGGACAGGGACAGACCCCAGGGAAGGGCTGGAGCTGTGCCAGGGAAGGTTTGGGTTGGATTTCAGGGCAAGGTTCTTCCCCAGAGGGTGCTGGGCACTGCCCAGGGAATGGGCACAGCCCTGAGGCTGCCAGAGCTCCAGCAGAGCTTGGACACTGCTCCAGGGTGGGATTGTTGGGGGGTCTGTGCAGGGACAGGAGCTGGATCCATGATCCTTGGGGATCTCTTCCAGCTCAGGAATGATCCTCTGAACATGGGTCTGTCCAATAATTTTATTTTATTTTATTTTATTTTATTATCAGCACTAAAATCCCAGCTTCCATGTTTACAAGACTGAGAAAGGAATGAGTACTTTAAAAACTGTTAGAACCATTTTTGGGAATGAGTATCTTAGGAAAGAGCTGCTTTGGCAAAATGTGGTAGGATTTATTTTATGCTTTTTAAAAAGCCCATTTCAAATCCTTGTGGATCCTTGTGGGTTCCTTCCAACTCAGCATATCCTATGATCCTATGAAATTTTGGTAGTTACACCACTTGGGTTGGCTTTGTTTTTGCATGTGTTGAACAGCCTCAGTAAATGACTGAGGCTTTTTCCATTTTTGTTTTCCTGTCTTAAAAAAAAAAAGCCTGGAATCGATAATGAGCTTGTTGCACGTTTTAAATGATCAGTTCTCCCAGATTTCTAAAATTAGCAGTATGGTTACCAATTCCATGATGACTCAGAGTTCTTCCTTTGAATGGAAGCCCAGCTTCCCAAGCTCCTGTGTAAGAAATCTCATCTTGGTAGTGAATATCTTAATTTCAGCTTTGGAAATCGATGTTCAATGAAGTGAGGTGTGAAAAGGGGTGTCTGGGAGCTGCTGTGTGTGGCTGGGGAGAGCAGAGCCTGCTGAAGGTGATGCTCAGGGGATGGTTGCTCCTGAGCTGGTCCTTGCAGTGATCAGGGGCTGTCCCTGTCCCTGAAGAGGAGTTTCATTCCTCAGCATGGGGATAAAATGGGCTGGGAGGGATGCAGGAACAGCCATGCCCTCTACCTGCTGCAGATCTTGGGGTATCTTTTCCCAGGATGGGTGGAAGAAATTGGCTTTATGACAGCTTTTCCATTTAGGTGATGAAACTTCAATTTCTGCTCAGAGATTTAATTCATCTGTGCAAACAGCAGCACCACTTCCATTCTGTTCTTCCATCTCAGTGCTCCCTAAAGCAAAGCCTTTCTTTAATTGTTTGAACCACCACAAGAGCTTCAAAGCAGCACATCAAGGCTGCCAGAGCTGCAGGAGCCCTTGGACAATGCTCCCAGGGATGCACAGGATGGAATTGTTGGGATGTGTGTGCAGGGCAGGGGTTGGGCTGGATGATCCCTGTGGGTCCCTTCCAGCTCAGGATATTTGATGGTTCTGCATCTCTTCCCCGTGTTCCAGGAGTATTTATGTCAGCATGTAAAAAAAACCCCAAAATTCTCTCTCTCAGCAGTAAGAATGTGTCTGATTGGTGCTCCATGCTCTCCTTGGGAGCAGCTGGAGCCTGGTGCCTGGCAGGGCGGTGCTGGGGCCGTGTCCTTTGGCAGCAGCCCTGTGCAGACACCAGGGTGAGTCAGCAGTGCCTGGGAGCTGCATTCCAGCCTAATGCTTTCAGATAATCACTGAGGTGCTTCAGGACGATTCTATTTAGGTGGGAGAGACATTGGCTTGCCTGTATAAAAAAATTATCATGTTTTCTTTAAAAAGAACCCTTCCTCCCTGGGAGGCTCACTGTTAGGTATTTCATTTTGAGCAACAGTTGAGTTGGGTTTTTGTGCTGTCAGGTTGCAAAGCTCAGATCACACAAAACAATTTTAGTGAATCAGCATCACAGGCTCACAGAATAGCTGGGGTTGGAAGGGACCTCTGGAGATCATCCAGTCCAGCTCCCTCTCCAGGCAGGGCCACCTGGAGCAGCTGACACAGGAGCACTTCCAGGTGGGCTTGGAAAGTCTCCAGAGAGAGACAAACTCAACACCCTCTCTGGGCAGTGCTCTGTTACCCTCCAGGAAGTTTTCTTCCTCATGTCAAGGTGGAGATTGAAAAAATCTTGAAATAAGGAGGAAGGTAGGAAGTATCATTGTCTTTCCTTACTGGCATATTGTGGAACCCCTTTTCCAATTCCCACTTTTGGTTTAAAATGTAAAAATAATTGTGAAGGTCACAGAATCATGGAGTGGTTTTAAGGGACCTTAAAGCTCATGTTATAAGGGACCTTAAAGTGGCACCCCCTGCCATGGGCAGGGACACCTTTGACCATCCCAGGCTGCTCCAGGCCCTGTCCAGGCACTGCCAGGATCAGCTTTAGCATTGCCAGGTGGGGATCAGTCAGTCTGAGGCTGCTCTCCTGACCCTGGAGGGCTTTGCCTGGCTGCACTTTGGGAGCAGGAATGGCTGGGAGCTGTGCCCTTGAGCCAGGGAGGGGAGCAGGGAGAGAGTCAGGAGCTGAGGAACTGAGCTTGCAGCAGCCTGGGAGCACCCAGGTTATTTTGGAACTTTTTATCTGCCTGTGCCTGCGTGCTTTTGGAGGCTTTGGTGTTTGGAGCAGTGTGTGAGCAGGCTGGGAACGCTGCTGTTAAGATGTTCTGTTCCCTTGGCTCAGGGGGTGTGTCTGCCTCTCTCCCATCTTGCACCAGCTGGGAATCCTGGAAAGTATCTCCTGTCTCAGCCCCTGGGAGAGGAGAAGCATCTGAACGTCAGGGAAAGCTCAGGATTGCAAATAAAAGTGTGAGCAAGTCACTCACAATTCAGTGAAGTTTGGGCAGCTGTCCCATGGGTGATGCTGCAGCTGAAACTGAGTTTTGTTTTGATGTGTCAAAATGAAATTGTTTTCCCCCTGTTGCCAGCATGAGGGCTTGTCTTCCCTGAGAAGTGCTATGGAAAGCAGAGTGATACACTGGATTATTTTGCTGTGGTAATTTCTGGTTTGTGTAGCCCTGCTGCTCAGAGCAGGATGCACGAGGATGGGCTTTGGAGGAGAAATCTGGAACTGGGAGTGGGGAGGAATCAGGCTGAAATTGGGAAGGAGGAGGGACTGATGGGGTGTACTAGCCAGGTAATTCAGTTAATATGATACAGAACCAGTTGCTTCTGCTTATGGCAGGGAATAACCGATAAAACAGTGAAGACATTGCTAATTTTATCACGCCTTTTGTTAATTAAAGAGGTGTGAACTGCTTGCTGAGTAAAATAGATCAGAGGGAAACTCAAAGTTTGTGATTTGAGGTTATCACAAGCTCTGTAAGGTAAGCACTTTAATGTTTTGTTGGGTTTTTTTCCCCAATATGTGGTTTTTTTTTAGTGTTTGGGCAAGTACAGAATAAACTGGAAACCAGACACAAACCTGTTTCAGTGTCTGTATTTAAAACAGCCACAAATATTTATTTGGCTTGCTCCAAAGCTTTTTCATATTTTTCTCTTTGTCTGTACAAATGATCTGTTGAATGGCCCAAGCAGACCAATGTCTATTAATACTTGGATTACAACACAGTAAATGCTAATTTATTTTTTTTTTCCAAGAGTACAAAACATTATTTCCGTGTATTCAGTTCCTAATGTTTTTCTGAAGCCTTGCAGTTAATGGTGTCAATGCAGAGCTTGGTCTGTGCTGCTCTGCTCTTGAGCACTTGTGGGAATTTTGCAAGGGTGGAGTAGAGTAGTTTGTGTCCTACTTCAGGCTTTTCTTTGTGCACAAGCAACTGGAATTTTTGTCTCTTGGAAGCCAGTGCAGTATCTCCCATTCTGATGTGATTATTCTTTGGAGCTTTGGTATATTTTGACCATGAAAATAAAAACGAGTCTTAAAAGGTTGGGATAATTTAGGTTGAGAGGGCCCTCTGGAAATCACCTCCTCCAGCCCCCCTTTTTAAAGCAGAGCCAACTTCAAACATATCATGCTTTGTTCTTGCTCCTGCTAAAATTAGTTTGAGGAGGAGTATGTTAATGTGGCAGGGTATGGGTTGTTTCGAGCTGCTGCTTTCATTTCTGGTTCACTCTTCAGCTGAGCTTTTTCATTACATTATCATTTCTAATAATGCTTTAAACTTACGAGGACTTTCTTTTCCAAAACTCTGTTAAAAAAAAAATTCATCTATCATTTCACCACGGGGAAAATAAATACCAATAATTTTCTAGCAGTTTTGAGTTCTTTACTACATCAACTCTAAATATAAACTTAAAATTTTCTTATTTGCCCTTTTTCCTTAGCACTGGTTTGTTTGGCTAAGAGGTACTTTTCTTAAATTCTTTTATCCTGGGTTGCTTTTGGCAAATGAATTGCAGGTAGTTCAGAATAAGAAATGAGAATATTTGTGCAGAAGTGGGTAATTGTTGGGGTTTTTTGATAAGCAAGCTATATAATCCTTTTCAGATCTGCACATTCCCACCTATTGCATGCAGTGTGAGTTGTTGCTCTGATTTGGGTACAGTTAAACATTTGATTCATATCCATTTAATGCTTTTGTAGGCATCTCCCATGCTTTATCAATATTTCCATAACTTGCATCTTCAGATATTTATCCAAACATAATTGCTATGGGCTTTCCTGCAGAGAGGCTTGAAGGAGTGTACCGCAACAACATCGACGATGTAGTAAGGTAAGGCTTTCTTTTTCTTAACTTCAAAAAACTTGGAATAATCTTTTGTATACTCATTTATGTCCTGCTGAGGAAAGCCTGTGTGTTCTCACTTGTAGAAATGCTGAGGGTTTTTTTGCATCTTGTAGATGTTGCCTTAATAGCTATCCTGGAAAATGTTGGAAACAACAAAAAATGGCCAGGCTGCTGCTCTGGGTTGAACTCAAATGCATATAATCTGCTTTTTTAGTGGGAAAATTTGACTTCAGTAACTTGTGTTGGAGTAAAAAGAGGTTATTTACTTATAGAAAGACATCAATCTAATGGCTCTATTCATTGTCAAGAGTTTCCTCAGGTAACTGATGGTATTTCAGGATAAGTTTGCCCTTATCCTTTCTTCAGTTGATAAATGAAGTGCTTGATTAGTAAATTTTGATTTCAAATAGCAAATGTAGTGAACATTTGTTTCAAATAGTGAATTTGAAACATGTGTTTCAAATAGTAAATGTAAAAGTAAATTACTTTAAATAAAGGCTTTTACATTTGGTTGTGTTGAATAATTATGGACAAGGAGAAAGATGATCTGAAATCTGTTACTGCTGGTAAAAAAGCCCCTATAGGTTGTCATTTTTAATTTCAGATAAAGTCATTACTCTGAACTGCTGGCTACAATTGAGAAAGAGGAGGTGGGGAGTGTTGTAGGAACACTGTTGTAATTAATTGAGTTAAAACCCTACCTGGAGAGTGTGAGAAGTTGCATTAAAAACCAAACTCTTGGTAGAAGCTGCCAAAAGTTTGTGGTTTTAGGGTTCAAAGTTGTGATTTTCTTTTTTGAAAAGTGGTGCCTTGGAGGGGGGAGATTCATTTGGGAGGGGGGAGATTCATTTGGGAGGGGGGAGATTCATTTGAGGTCCTGAGCTCAGTAGGTCTGTGAGAGACTCAGCCTTTGGGGTGAGTGATGATGCAGGAAGGTTTGCAGGGAAGGTGTTGGGTGTGTCTGGGCAAGGAGGTGCTTCTCCCAGCTGGGAGGTGCCATGGGGAGTGTCTCATAATTGTGCAAAGTGTTCCCACCCAGCATCCTTGTGTCTGAACTGGAGACACAGGGCTTTGATGGATGGAGCCCTCAGGCTGGATGGCTGCAGGCAAAGTGCTGTGGGCAGCAGCTCCTGGTCCCTATGGAGACCAGGGGACACTTGAGGTCTCTGAGGGGCTGGTGCTGCTCAGCAGCTCTGTGGGTGACTCTGACAGAGGGATTGAGGCACCCTCAGCACATCCAGCTGTGACACTGATGGATCCAGAGGCACCTGGGCAGGCTGGAGGGCTGAGCCTGCACCAAGCTCATGGTGTCCAGCAGAGTGAAGTGCTGGTGCTGCCCCTGGCTCAGGGCAGCTCCCAGCATCAATCCAGGGGATGAGCAGCCCTGGGGAAGGCCCTGGGGGTGCTGGGGGCAGAGCTGGGAGCCAGAACCCCCCCATGCCCTGGGCTGAGCCCCAGCGTGGGCAGCAGGGGAGGGAGGGATTCTGCCACCTGGAATTCTGGTGCTTCCAACATAAGAAGGATGTGGAACTCTTGGAGCAAGTCCAGAGGAGGCCACTGAGTTGTGATGGGGCTGGAGCCGTGGTAGGTGTGGCACTGGATGGGCTTTAAGGTCTTTTCCCACCCAAAGTGTCCTGAGATTCCATGATTCTCCAGTTGCTGGCAGGCAGAACTAGGGCTGCAGGCATTTCCATGGGGATTGCACCCAGGCTGGGACAGAAGTGAGCTGAGCTCCTCCATTCCCACCCTGGCAGGACTCATCAGCCTCAGCTGACAGTCAGAGCTCTGGAGGCAGTGGCTCCCTGCACAGCTGCACTCAGCTGGGCTCCAGGGGCTTGGTTTTGCATGTTCCACTGTCATGACGAAAATCACCAGCCACAAATAGCACTGAGAGTGTCAGAGCCTGGAGCTGAGCTGGCTGGGGGAGGTGCAGTGCTGCATTCTCTGCTGCCCTGCTGAGCATGGGGCATTATTCCCATGGGAGATTAGATATTGGGAAGGAATTCTGGGCTGGGAAGGTGGGCAGGCCCTGGCACAGGGTGCCCAGAGCAGCTGGGGCTGCCCCTGCATCCCTGGCAGTGCCCAAGGCCAGGCTGGAGCAGCCTGGGACAGTGGAAGATGTCCCTGCCATGGCAGGGCTTGAAGGAGATGAGCTTTAGGGTCCCTTCCAACCTAAACCATTCTGGGATTTATCCAAAGTCCAGCCTTTGCCCCTGTCCCACAATTTTCAAATGTGGAGTTCATCAGGGGCTGGATATTCCATCAGCTTCATGAAAAGGTGGCTGGAAGCAAGCTGGCTGGAAATATGGAGTTTGTGGCTTGGGAGGGACCTTAAATCCCATCCAGTGCCACCCCTGCCATGGCAGGGACACCTTCCACTGTCCCAGGCTGCTCCAAGCCCCATCCAGCCTGGCCTTGGGCACTGCCAGGGATGTAGGGGCAGCCCCAGCTGCTCTGGGCACCCTGTGCCAGGGCCTGCCCACCCTGCCAGGGAACAATTCCTCATTCCCAATATCTAATCTAACATGGGAATAATGTAAATAAATATTGATAGGCAGGAGTCTTTGAAGGCCCTCTTCCATTCACAGCCTTGATTTCAGTAGCTTCTGGATGAAGGAAAAGACATTTTAGTGGTTGAGGAGGTAGATATGTGTAAATTAGATTTTGGAATGCCTATATAATTATGAAGATGTCCATAAACACTGATCAAAAGGAGCAGTGATCACCTAAAAGCGTCATCAACCAAATTAAGATAAGCAGAGATGTAAATTAAGTGGCTGTAGGGAACTGGATGCTCAAGTATTATTACATTTGTTACCTTCTCTTTTTAAACAAGAAGAAAATGAGATCATGCAGCATTCTGCATGTTGCAGTCCTCATCTGCTCCAGTCATCTTTTTATTGGGGAGTTTTTTTTCTGAGTGCTTTTTATGCAGAAATCCAAAGTGCTCAGGCTCCTGAGCAGTTGATATTGAGCCAGGATCCAGCAGTGGGCTTTTTCTGAAGAGCTGCTACCCTGACAAATTCCAGGCTAATGCTGGATGAGAAGTACAACCTGCACTGCTGGCTGTCTCCTGTGAGTGACACTTGGAGAGCTTTTGGATGGAATTTTGTCCTTAAAAACATCCTACTCCACTGTGTGGATATTCCTGGCAAAGGAGAGCCAGCTCTCCTCACTCTGGAGTGTGTTAACCAACAGGAACATCTCCTGAAACAAATCCCAGTGCCCCCCATCTTCCTGAGGCTCTCCAAGGCTGCCAACAGGGGCACCAGTGGCACTCAGGGAATTTTTTTCCCGCTGCACTTGGAGTTTCACACTCACATCTGTTCCCATTTTAGTGCAGGCCTTTAACCACAGAGCTGTTCTAGGTTCTTCTGGAATATTATGAGTGATAACCAGAGCTTGTTTTTGCTTGAGCTTTCCAGGATTTTAGCAGCTAGTGTTTCTTTTCAATTTGAACAGCATGTTCTGTCATGGCTAATTAAATTCCTTCTGGCTGATGTGCAGATACACACTGTTGATGATGTTAAGTGTAAACATTTGCATGTTATTTCTTCTTGCACATTGCCAGGTGACACATCATATATAATCACAGCACTTCTGATGAATCATGCTTGCAGTTTGGCTTGCTGAGGCTTGTAGGGGAAGTTTGTGTTCCAAAGTGAGCATGGAAATGAAATGAGTGTGAAAAAGTAGAGTGCTCCTCCTTCCAAAACCCACCGTATCACTGGGGACAGATTTCAGTGGCAAATAATAAAAAACCTGGGGTTGAAGTGAATTATTCTGGCTAGAACTGGAACACAAGAGTTACTTTACCTGCTTTTCTTCCTTGTGGTAAAATATTTGGCACAGGTGATTAAATAGGAAGTGTTTCCAGATACCTGGTGTGATCTATGCTTTCTGTTTGAAAACAACTGAGCCTTCCTCAGCTTCTTGCAGTGACCTGCAGGTGTTTTAGGAATCAGGAAATCAGTCCATGTACAGTAAATATTTCAGTTTCTGGTCAGACCTTGCTTCCCTTCCTTGCATTAGTGGTGTTATTGATGCTGTTGGATTATTTGGATGAGTGAGGTTTCCAACACTCTGCCTCCTTGATTTTTGGGGCACTGCTGGCACTGGGAATGCAGAACTGCTCCTGCTGGGTGCTGCTTTAAGGATGCTGCAAATCGAGGTCAATATTGTTCAATGTATATTCATACATAATTTTTTTTTTTTCTCTTGAAGGTTTTTGGATTCAAAGCATAAAAACCATTACAAGATATACAATCTGTAAGTATGCTCTTAAATATACATTCTCCAAAAGAATGACTTCTAAAAATAGCTGAGCAATGCAAGTGGCTTGTTGCTGTCCTGAAACAGAGCTGGGGATGTTTTGCACATTTCTTAAAACAATTAAGGCTGATTGAGAGCACTGCTACTTCATTTAGTGGAGCTGAGTGAGGTTAAATGAAATGCTGGTGTGTATTCATGTTACTTGAACGTTTTTAAATGACTTGGCATCCAGCCCATCTGGAGCTTGGGCCATGTGATTAAAAAGTGAAAAGTAATTCACAGCAGGCTTTCTGTCCATGTATTAATGTCCAGTTGCCAAATGAATCTTTTCCTGGTATTTTTTTTCTCTATTTTTTAAAAAATCAAACTGCATTGGTACCAAGGCTCTGTTTGCTTCCTCCCTTTTCTTGTGTGTCCCTGTTTATTACTTTAAAAAAGCTGCTGGAGCAATTGGTGGTGGTTTCTGACTTCTCTGAAAATTTAGTCCTGCAGAAAGCTGGTACTGTTACAGGAGTTCTCTGGTTTTGGTTTTATTTTTTGGGGGTTTTTGTGCTGTTCCTTCATCTAATTTATCCATTAGCTTAGACTAATTTCATTTGTATAAATGATTTCGTTTTGTGGTTTTCCTACCCCTTCATTTTTTTCCTAAAAACCCAAGTTGAAGATTGACTCTCTGAACTGTTACAGCTTTATTATTTTTTTAAAATGAATATTTTTAAATATCTACAGTAATAGAAAAAGTTGTTGTAGTACTGAAATGCATGACATTATAATCTGTCAAGTCATTAAAGCAAATATTTAAAAATAAGGATTTAAATCTGCCTGTAGGTTAGCTAAAGGATTGTGCATCAATTTTCCCTGATATTGGAGAGAAGTGACAGTAGAAATAGAGGAATCTTCCTGTGGTCATTGAAGTTGTTGTGGGGCAGAAAACAAGAACAGCTTTTTAAAGTTTGTAAGTGAGAAGAGCAGTGATAACACAAATGAATTTGACATTTCTGTTGCTGCTCTGTGTGTTTTCAACTGTAGAAAAAACTTGTCCAGGTGTGCTAAAGGTTTTTGTTTTCAGTTTCCTTTTATAAAAATTGATTTTCTTGTTGTTAACTGCAAAACCATCACAAATGAATCATGCTGGAATTACTTTAGTCGTACTCAGAGGAAAAATTTCAGAGGATAAAACTGTCTGGAGATATCTTAATGCTTGTGCAGGCAAAATTTATAAACATCAAATGCCATCAGGTGAATTGTGGCAATGTTTGGTCAGGAGATGGGAAGGAATTGCATCCATCAGGTATTCCAGAGAACTCCATTTCTTCAGATTAAGCTGATCCTTTGTAAATAATGATCTATTGTCTGTGTTTCAAAGGAGGAGGTGGGAGTTCAGAGGAGTTACATGATTATAGTCAGAATTATTTCAAAATCTGTCATGGGATTTGAGTTCCCTTAAGGTAGCTGTTCCATGAAGTTGATAATAATGTGTGTATTGAGCAGTTTTATCTAAAAGGATTTAGAGATTTTTCTGAAACTATGTCAGTTATGCCCCATCCTCACATCTTGGCTTTTAACTTGCCAGCAGTTTGAGCAGTTTAATTTTCCTTCTTGTGTTGCTCCTCTCTTGTTTGCCTTTGCTGTTTCTTCAGTATTCTCTTCAATCTGTTTTAAATCTCCTTTAAATCTGTTCTTGCACTTGCACCTCCTAAGTTCCCATGCTGACAGATTGTCACCTGCCCTGCTGTAATCATCTCCATCTTCTCCAGTGGGTTTCCTTGAGCTGTCCTGCAGGCAGGTGCTTGAAGGAAGGAGCTGTGATGAAAATGGGCATTTTCTGTGCTTGCTGTGTCCCTGGGGCTGGGCTCTGGCAGAGGAAGTCACCATGACTGATGTGACTTTAACCTGGCAGCACTTGGCTTCTGGGTTGCTTTAAGCTCACTTTAATCCTAAGAACAGCCAAACCCCTCCTTAACCCCAGAAATGCCAAAAAAAATTCAGATTTCATTTGGAGATCTGATGCTATTTGAGTTATAATAGTGTTAAAACCCCACCCCAAATGCACTTGAAGCATTAAGCCCTACCAGTATCCCCAGAGTGTGTGTTGGTGGGATTTCTGCTGCAAATACCCACAAATTGAGTGCAGCTGAGCCAGCAGCTCTGCATTGCTTGTGTTCAACCATTTCTTGTGTATCCTTGGCATCAACCAAACTAATTTTTAATCCCTCATGGTATTCTACTCAATGATACTCTCTCAAAGTTCCAAATTTGATGATGTTTTTTCTACCCATTTGTGGATTTTTCTTTAATGTTTCGAAGACTTTGATCTCTTACTCCCCATTTGAGCTGGGTGTTTCTTTAGAAGGAAGCAGGAAAATTTCCTGGATAAGATCTTTGTGGTAACTGCTTTGCTTCCCAGCAGCTTCCCAAATCCCTGTGCTGCAGGAAACTTTCCTGGATAAGATGCTTTGTGAGTTTGCAGCTTCCCAAATTCCAGTGAGTTTGCAGCTTCCCAAATCCCTGTGAGTTTGCAACTTCCCAAATCCCTGTGAGTTTGCAGCTTCCCAAATTCCTGTGCTGCAGGAAACTTTCCTGGATAAGATGCTTTGTGAGTTTGCAGCTTCCCAAATTCCTGTGCTGCAAGAAACTTTCCTGGATAGGATGGTTTGTGAGTTTGCAGCTTCCCAAATTCCTGTGCTGCAGGAAACTTTCCTGGATAGGATGGTTTGTGAGTTTGCAGCTTCCCAAATTCCTGTGAGTTTGCAACTTCCCAAATCCCTGTGAGTTTGCAGCTTCCCAAATCCCTGTGCTGCAGGAAACTTTCCTGGATAAGATGCTTTGTGAGTTTGCAGCTTCCCAAATTCCTGTGCAGCTTCCCAAATTCCTGTGCTGCAGGAAACTTTCCTGGACAGGATGGTTTGTGAGTTTGCAGCTTCCCAAATTCCTGTGCAGCTTCCCAAACTCCTGTGCTGCAGGAAACTTTCCTGGACAAGATGCTTTGCTTCCCAGCAGCTTCCCAAATTCCTGTGCTGCAGGAAACTTTCCTGGATAGGATGCTTTGTGTGTTTGCAGCTTCCCAAATTCCTGTGAGTTTGCAGCTTCCCAAATTCCTGTGAGTTTGCAGCTTCCCAAATTCCTGTGCTGCAGGAAACTTTCCTGGATAAGATGCTTTGCTTCCCAGCAGCTTCCCAAATTCCTGTGCTGCAGGAAACTTTCCTGGATAGGATGGTTTGTGACTTTGCAGCTTCCCAAATTCCTGTGAGTTTGCAGCTTCCCAAACTCTATGCTGCAGGAAACTTTCCTGGATGAGATGCTTTGTGAGTTTGCAACTTCCCAAATTCCTGTGAGTTTGCAGCTTCCCAAATTCCTGTGCTGCAAGAAACTTTCCTGGATAGGATGGTTTGTAAGTTTGCAGCTTCCCAAATTCCTGTGCTGCAAGAAACTTTCCTGGATAAGATGCTTTGCTTCCCAGCAGCTTCCCAAATTCCTGTGCTGCAGGAAGCTTTCCTGGAGAGGATGGTTTGTGACTTTGCAGCTTCCCAAATTCCTGTGAGTTTGCAGCTTCCCAAATTCCTGTGCTGCAGGAAGCTTTCCTGGAGAGGATGGTTTGTGAGTTTGCAGCTTCCCAAACTCCTGTGCTGCAGGAAACTTTCCTGGACAAGATGCTTTGCTTCCCAGCAGCTTCCCAAATTCCTGTGCTGCAGGAAACTTTCCTGGATAGGATGCTTTGTGTGTTTGCAGCTTCCCAAATTCCTGTGAGTTTGCAGCTTCCCAAATTCCTGTGAGTTTGCAGCTTCCCAAATTCCTGTGAGTTTGCAGCTTCCCAAATCCCTATGCTGCAGGAAACTTTCCTGGATAAGATGCTTTGTGTGTTTGCAGCTTCCCAAATTCCTGTGAGTTTGCAGCTTCCCAAATTCCTGTGAGTTTGCAGCTTCCCAAATTCCTGTGCTGCAGGAAACTTTCCTGGATAGGATGCTTTGCTTCCCAGCAGCTTCCCAAATTCCTGTGAGTTTGCAGCTTCCCAAATTCCTGTGCTGCAGGAAGCTTTCCTGGAGAGGATGGTTTGTGACTTTGCAGCTTCCCAAATTCCTGTGCTGCTGGCTGCTCCATCCCCCTTGGATGGGCACCCTGCATCCAGCTCTCTTCTCCAAGGCTCCAGTGCCTTTGAGAAGAATATTTTTGGGAGTCCCCTCTTAAGTGCCAGCCTAACCTGGTCACTTGTGTCCCAGAGGAAGTGTCAGCAATGTGATTGGAGCTGTGAGAGCTGCCAGGCTTTTCCCTAGCACAGAGTAGAGCTCAGAAGGTTCTGGAATTCAGGGAAAGGGAAGCTGTGAGAGCAGCCCCAGCAGACCTGCCTGTGGCTGTGTCATGGGCAGAGCTCAGGGCAGCCCTGGGAGGCTCCAGTTGCAGTCACACAAGGAGCAGCCCAGAGGTTTGTGTGTCTGCAAGTGTCAGCTCAGCTCCATGTGGCTCCAGAAGCTGCAACCATAACATACCTGGGGAGCAGAGATGAGTTCAGAGCAGCCCTGAAACTGCTGTGGGAACTGGAATAATCCTGGGAAGAGCACAGGCTGTAACCAGAACTGAACATCCAGGTGTGATTTTCTGCTGAAATGACTGCAGCAGTTGTGTTTCAGCCTGGTGTTCTCTTTCACAGAAGCCCAGGGTGGTTTGGGGTTGGAAGAACCTTAAGCAGCATCTTGTTGCACCCCCCTGCTGTGGGCAGGGATGCCATTCCCCAGCTCAGGCTGCTCAGGTCCCCATCCCAGCTGGTCTAGGCAGGATTTGAGGCAGGATTGCTGTCAATTTTCCTTTCTGAACTTCCACTCACATCATCTTCCCTGCAGGGAAATTCTGGAGGGTGTCCACTCTTGCTTTCTTTCCCCTTAACCCAAAATCTGGTTGTTCTTAGCCTGCTGCTTTGGCTTTAGAGCCCAGTGAGGGGTGGTTTGTGTCCCATCACTGCTGTTTATCCCTGGGAAAAGCAAATCCAGTGTGATTTGCTGTGTTTTTGTCCAGCTGGAGAGGGTCTCTGTGAGTGGGGAGAGACTGGTACAGCTCCTGAGCTTTCAGAAATGTGCTGCAAATACCCACAGATTCAGGGCAGCTGAGCCAGGATTGTGTTCAGCCATTGCTTGTGTATCCTTGGTATCAACAAAACTATTTTTTAATCCCTCAATGTGCCATCTCCCAGGTCTGAGGGGAAATGTGGCTGCTTGGCCTTCGAGGATCACTTAAATTCAGCAATCAGTGCCAGAGCAGTGCCACAATCTCTGCTTGATCCAAGTGATCTCTGATAATATTAAAGGTGGATATCCTTGTGATCCCCACTGCTCTGAGCACCCACAGTGCTGCTGAGGCACCCTGAGCTGTGTTCTGGGTTCAGCATCCCTGCATGAAGGTCACAGCTCTCTGCTCTCAGGGTTAGAAGGTGCACACTCAACTCAAACTTGCATAAATTGAGTCACACTGACTAAAACATAGCAGCCATGCACTACAATTACCAGAGGGTAAGTATTTGCCTTTCAGTAAAATATTTCACTTTTTAGTAAGCAGTCTGCTGCAAAACTTTTTTTTTTCTTTTTCTGTGTGTAACCTCTAGTTTTAAATCATAAAGGTGATGGGCATGCATGATTTTCCAGGGTGTGACAGATGCTGGGAGTGCCTCAGAGACTTGGTCTTGAACTCTTGTCTGTTTTTCTTTTTCAGATGTGCTGAAAGACATTATGACACCGCCAAATTTAACTGCAGAGGTAGGTTTTTAGTGCCTGATGTGTGTTCTCTTTAAACCTCAGTGAATGAAGGCCTAAAGGAGGAGCTGATGAATAGTCATGGAGGAGATTTGGGCACAAGGAATGATGTCAGATTGCTTTGAGTCATTGGAAAAACTTGCTGTATTCTTGGTGCTTTCAAAAATTGGGCTCCTGACAGTTAAAGATCAAAATCGATTAAAAAGTCTACAGTTGCAGAAAGATTTCTGCAGAATGGGTTACACAGAAGTTTCAGTTCAGGGAAATACAAATTCCTTGTGCAATTTATGTGTGAAGCACAAATTCCTTGTACAATTGACATGTGAGGCACAAATTCCTTGCACAATTTTTGTGTGAGGCACAAATTCCTTGCACAATTTTGTGTGAGGTACAAATTTCTTGTACAATTGACATGTGAAGCACAAATTCCTTGTACAATTTTCCTGTGAGGCACAAATTCCTCGTACAATTTTCCTGTGAGGTACAAATTCCTTGTACAATTTATGTGTGAAGCACAAATTCCTTGTACAATTTCGTGTGAGGCACAAATTCCTTGTACAATTTTCCTGTGAAGCACAAATTCCTTGTACAATTTCGTGTGAGGTACAAATTCCTTGTGCAATTTTCATGTGAGGCACAAATTCCTTGTACAATTTCGTGTGAGATACAAATTCCTTGCACAATTTATGTGTGAAGTACAAATTCCTTGCACAATTTTTGTGTGAGGCACAAATTCCTTGCACAATTTTTGTGTGAGGCACAAATTCCTTGCACAATTTTCGTGTGAGGCGCAAATTCCTTGTACAATTTTGTGTGAGGTGCAAATTTCTTGTACAATTGACAAGTGAAGCACAAATTCCTTGTACAATTTTCCTGTGAAGCACAAATTCCTTGCACAATTTTCATGTGAAGTACAAATTCCTCGTACAATTTTTGTGTGAAGCACAAATTCCTCGTACAATTTTCCTGTGAGGCACAAATTCCTCGTACAATTTTCCTGTGAGGCACAAATTCCTCGTACAATTTTCCTGTGAGGCACAAATTCCTCGTACAATTTTCCTGTGAGGCACAAATTTCTTGCACAATTTTCCTGTGAGGCACAAATTCCTTGTACAATTTTCCTGTGAGGCACAAATTCCTTGTACAATTTTCCTGTGAAGCACAAATTCCTTGCACAATTGACATGTGAGGCTCAGAAGAGTCTGGTTTTTATGAAGGATGGAAATGGAGAACATTTAAACCATTATCACTATGTGTATATAGCAACTTTGGGAAGATCTGGCAGAGCTTTCAGATGCTAAAATAAAAATTAATTCACCATGTGATGTCTCTTAGAGATGAGTTGGGTCTTAGACACTCTGCAGAGCTGCCAAAAGCAATGGGGATTCTTTCAGGGGTGCCTTTTGACCTTGACTGATGTAACTGTTGTCAGAATTACCTCTCCAGGTAATAAATAAATGCAGATTTACCTTTGTTCTTTGGGCAGAGGAGCATTTCTTGCTCAGAAGTTGTAGTTCCTTCAGATGAGGGTAGATCAGGAGTCCTTGTGCCTACAGAGAATCGTAGGAGATGAACAAATTCTGGGCTTCTTCTGCATCATAGCAATGGCTCAACTTCTATTTTTCATTATTATTATTTTAAACCATCCATCTAATTATGAAAGAGGGTTTAGAACGTGACCAAAATGTAATTGGCTGCTTTCATGTCTGAATATAGAAGGGCTGAAATTGTCTCGTTGAAGTTGTCAGCGCTTCTGATTTGCTCTCAGGATGTTGAATGACAGTGCCCAGAAACCTCACTCCATCCTCACCAGCAAGGAAAAAATATTTTAGGATCTGCTGGAGCAGTGCTTTGGGGAAGAAGAGAAGAGGACATGTTCTAATATGGCCACAGCATATGTTTGCTTGAGTTTCTGCTTTCTGATACGGGGGTGCTCAGCTCCCTTTGCTGTCAATCCCAGCCCCAAATGCTGGTTGTGACAGCACCTTTCACAGCTCCTCTGCACAAGACATGCTGGTTTTTCATTTTCATCCTCGAATTAGTTAACCTCAGATAACCAAATTGGTGACTCAGGACTTCCTTAAGCAGAGGAACAAAAGTTGTGCTTGAAAATCTCCTGAAGTGAACTGACTGCAAAGGGAACTTGTGATTGTACTGAGCTTGAAACACCAGAATAGTTCATTATTCACCCAGGATGATCTTGTATCACATTCAAACCTAAACACTGAGGGCTCTTCATCTTCTTTGGGAAGTAGCTTTGTGTCCATGGTTTTTCCAGTTTCTGAAATCCTTCCATGTTAGAATTGTCTTCTGCTTTGCCACAGATTTTCTTTTTTTAAACTCTTGTAATGTGCTATTGCTTCTTGCAGTGTGTAGGGCCTGGGAGAGGGCAAGCAGGATTATTCTCCATTGTAAGGAATCAAAATCCATGGAGGAGCTGCACCTTCTCAAGGCCCTGCTCAAGACTCTGTGCAGCTTAATGTTTCCTTCCTCTTAACCCCTGCACACCATCCCAGGCATCCATTCCATCTTCTCACTCCAGATTTGAAGAAACTAGCACAAGTTTTGCCTTTGATTCCAGAACTTTTGAGAGCATCTTCAGCATCCCGTGACTACTTGGGAGTTTTCAGGCTGTTCTTTCAGGACTTCTTCACTCCCCTGTTCATGGAAACCTTGCTGGCTGTAGTTGTGATAAAGTCAAAGCTGTACAGACAAATTTTCAGCATTTTTGCAGCTTCTTTTCTTAGAGATTTCGAGATAAATTCCATCTTTAATTTCACATAAAACTTTGGGCATCATTTGGAGAGCCTTTGGATCTTCCATGTGAAAGAGTTGGTGTGTTCATGTTGTGTTGCCTCTTTAGCAAAGATTATTTCTCAGCTTCCCCATTTGTTCTGGGAGATGAAGTGGGCAGTCTGAAAGCCAAAAGGCTGTGGACTTGTCCTGCAGTCCTTCAGCAGTTCCATAACTTCATCCCTCACTTGTGCTCTTGGAGTCCTTGGGGATTCATCAAAAGGAGCCCTGCATGTGTGACTACAGAGTGCTGCTTACGAAACCAGTACAGACACTTGCCAACAAAATGAAATGTATTCATTTTTAGCCCAGAAAAGGAAATGGTTTTTCTAGCTGAGAATTTTGAAGTGTCCCAGAGTTGTGTTTGTAAGATCCCAAGGCTGTAGGTGGAGAATTGGGGTGTGCTTTCATCAAGTGCTGTTCTGCTGAAACCAGAACATTGTGTGCGGTTCTGCTGGTCAGGGTGATCTTGTCCCTCATCTGATCTGAGGTGGGAGAAGTTTGGGTGCTTCTCTCTGCTTAATGCTTATTTTTAGCTCTCTTGAGTTTTCTTGCATTTCCTGCATCGCTGGAAATTCTTTTCATCCCTAGATGGAAAAGTGTGTGTGAATACACCCATATCAGAAAGGACAGCATTACTCAGTGCTTTGACTCTAAACCCATAAGCATTGCCAGTGCCTTACCTGAGATTTCTCTCCCAATTACCATTTCTAAAATATGGAAATGGCAGGTTTTTGTTTCACAAGGCCTTTGAGCAGATTTGGAGACTTTATTCCCAATGTAGACCCAGCCATGTTCAATAATTTTTCAGCAAAGTTCCTGTTGTCTGCTCAGTGACTGAGGCCTGGCCTTGTTCTCTCTCAGCAGGTAGTTTAATTATTGCTGGAGTAATGGCTTTTCACAAGGTTATTCTGTGTGTCAGCACGCTCTTAAATTCTGGAAAATTCACGTTACAGAGCCTGTGCAGCTCAGCTCTATAGAGGTGTGACATAGTTGCTCCATGGAGCAGGATGCCTGCTTACAGATGAATGGAGAAATGTCTGCTTATGATACACTGAATAATACTGGAATTATGTGAGATTTATGTGAAATATGTGAGATGAGGGGGGGCTGTGATTGAATAACTTAATTTTTACGTGCTTGTCACAAAGGTGACCTGAACTTGCTTTGCCTTTTGAGGTTCTGATGAACTCCTCCTTCTCCCTGCAGTTGCACAGTACCCTTTTGAAGACCATAACCCACCACAGCTGGAGCTCATCAAACCTTTTTGTGAAGATCTTGACCAGTGGCTAAGTGAAGATGACAATCATGTGGCAGCAATCCACTGTAAAGCTGGAAAGGGACGAACTGGTGTAATGATTTGTGCTTATTTGTTGCATCGAGGCAAGTTTTTAAGGGCCCAAGAAGCCCTAGATTTCTATGGGGAAGTAAGGACCAGAGACAAGAAGGTGAGCTGTTGCTGTTCTTCTGCCCCTCTACCTAAAACTTGCTGCTTTTTCCTCCTTGAGATCCATTTGATGCTCAAACCCTTTAAGTTGTGTTGTCTGATTTAGCTCCAGTAGGATTGGATCGGTGCAGTTGGAAATGGAAAAGCTTTAGTTACAACCTTAAACCTGATTTTAACATGTCCTGTCCAAGAGGACCTGGACAGTTGATTTTAAATGGCTTTTTCAGCACTGTTCTGCTGAAAACCAGAGGGGCAGTGAATTTTCTCATTCAGCCTTTCCAGCCCAAATGAGAGGATTGTTCCAGCTGATTTTTGCCTGAATGGATGAGTTGTTCATCTCTTCAGGTTCCCTTAACTGCTCTGGTGGGGTTTGGAGATGCATAGGGGAATATCCCATTACCCTTTGTCTGTAAAGGGTAGTTAAGGACCTTTCAGGCAGGGTTAGGCCTCATTAATGAGAATTTAACCTCCTTATTTGAAATCTTCTCCTAAGATGATAAGATGTGACTTCTAAGGTCATTTTAGCAAGTTTCCCTGCTCATCTTCCATTATTTCCCTGAGTGTGTTGGTTGAGCATCCCAGGGGGATCATCCCTGCAGGCCAGTTTCAACCTCCTCAAGCACAGAGCTCTCCCTGTTCCTGCAGTATTTACACAAAGTATTCATTTCAGTGTGTTGATCTCCAATAAGAAGAGCTTCGTGTCTGAAAGCTCTTGAGAGCATAAATGTCACATAAAGAATTTCAGAATTTGCCTGTTAAGTCTTTGGAAGGAGCAAGAAGCTCCTCAGTCTGCTCTGCTGACAAGGTGGAGCTGTTATTCCATGGACTGAGTTGGTTGTGGTGTAATGTTGGAGTGGAGACAAGATCAAGGTTTCCCATCAAAACTTTGTGGCTTTTGGTAAAAGTGCATGAGAGAGGCTAGGAATGAGCAGTGTGCTGAATAAACAGAGTAGATCACTCCTGCTGATAAGGGTTATCTCCAGAGCTGGAGAAAGCAGCATGAAAACTACAGAACTGAACAAATACACAGTGAAATGCTGTGCCTCAGTTTCCCTTTGTGAAAAGAAGGTTGTATTTCTGCAAGTTGGGTGTTTGTCAGTACCCCAGGGTACTTGGGCATCTTGGAGGGGAGGGAGAACTCAGCAAACAGGAGTAGGGAGAGCCTTGTTTACCTGACTGTAAATACTGTCTGGAACCAGCAACTTGTTTTGGTTTCAATGTCTCTACTGCAAGAGTTGAATTTTTTTCCCTTCCCAGCTCCACTTGAGCTCGGTTATCTTGATGTGGCCAGTGGGCAGCATGTGATTCACATAATCCTTCAGCAGTGTTTATAAACTGGTATTGCAGTGCAGGTTTCTGGAGCCTTTCCTTCCCTTGTGGCCCATATTTCAGTGTTATATGTCAAGTGCTGCTCTCTGATTTGATATTTCACCACACCTTTGTATAACTGACTTCCTCAATTCAAAGTCAATGAGGCATCAAAAGAGCTGTTTGCACAAAGGCACAAGCAAATGCCTTTTTTCTTTCTTTTTGGGCCAACATAGATATGATAAAGGAAAGCTGGCTTTAACAGGGACCAGATTTTCTTGGTTTAAAGCAAGGACAACTTTGCACCTGTAGCTGCTGAGAACAGCTCAGCTCCAATCCCTGCTGCCATTAGTGCTCAGAGCAGAGTGCTGCTGTGCTGGCAGGAAGTGTGAGTCTAATTGCAAGAGGAAGTGTGACTAATTGGTCAAGAGCACAGCCCTGAGTACTTCTGGAGCCAGCTTTTCCCTAGTGCCTGCTGGGAAAAGCAGCTCCAGGGAGGCCTTTGCACCTTCAAGTGAGAGTTGGTGGAGGTGAAGCTCAGAGTTGCTGTTTCTGTGCTGGGCAACAAGACATGGCAGAGCCCAGGCTGTGTCTGAGCAAAGCCTCTCCTGGGGTATTTTATTTCCTCTACAAGCTGCCTCTTTTGGCTTCTGAAACTCTTTGTAGTGGGGGGAGCTTAGTCAGAAGAAGGGAGTGGTGAAGATTAGGAAGTGTGGGCTGCATGGTTGTGTCTGTCTGGCTCCAGCACTGTAGAACAAGAGTGACTTTTATTTTCCTTTTGAACCAAAGGAGACAAAGTGTTTGCTGAAATGGGATAAAGACCAATATTTGTTGTCAGAGCTGAGGAAGAAGAAGCTAAAGAAGCTGCTGCTTCCAGTGTTTGAAGTGATTCGTTTATCCCACTTTTTTCTGATGATAGATACTGACACACTACTGTGGTGACAAAGGCTGGCAGCTTACCTTCCCACAGCTGGAGAAGGTCTTTATTTCTTCCTGCTTCTGCCTTGGAGGGTTTTGTGGTGAGGATTAGGCTTGGAAAGCAGCTCAGAGGATAGGGATCAGCTGTTCAAGTGCTGGAGATGATCCACTCAGGAGCATTCTTTGAGCACCATGGAGTTTTATTTTCAAGGATGGCTCCTAAGAGTTCTCATATGGGGAAAGGTTGAGAGAATTGGAGTTCTTCAGCCTGGAGAAGAGAAGCCTTGGGGTGGCCTCACTGTGGCCTTCCAGTACTTGAAGGAGCTGAGAAGAAAGATGGAGAGAGACTCTTTACAAGGGCCTGGAGGACCAGGACGAGGGGAATGGCTTCATGCTGGCAGAGTAGGGTTAGATGGGATGTTGAGAAGGAATTCTGCCCTCAGAGGGTTGGGAGTGCCCAGAGCAGCTGGGGCTGCCCCTGGATCCCTGGCAGTGCCCAGGGCCAGGTTGGACATGGGGGTTTGGAGCCAGCTGGGACAGGGAAAGGTGTCCCTGGCCATGGTGTGACACTGGATGGGCTTTAACTCCTTTCCAGCCCAGACCATGCTGTGTTTCTGTGGTGTTGCTGTAACAGAACAGGAAGTGAAACCCAATTAGTTTGTGTGAGGAAGCCTCAGAATGACCCTGGGAGCAGGGCACAGTTCCCATGGCTGCTGTCAGAGCTCATCACTGGGGGTGTCTGTCTGGGGGACATGCTCAGGTGCCAACCTCTGCCACACCTGCTGCTCTGAGGCTGCAGCTTCACCCTCACAGTAGGGTGTGTTCTAAAGGGACTGTGGCAATATTGTTTCCAAAATATTTGTTCTTCATAGTCCTGCCTGTGCTATATTGAGAGGAGAACCTGACAATGTTTGGGAAGCTCTTGCATAGGGACCAGAGGAGCTTATCTCACATGCATTTAAAAATTATGGTGGTGATAGATGGGAAATACGAGCTTGAACTACTTCCCTGTCCTTATTTTTCTGGAGTAAAAGTGAGTGCTGCTTGATTGCACCCCATGGAGTATTGTTAGTTTGTTAGGAAAGTGTTCTGCTTGGAATCCAGACCTTTGGAAATGGAGAACTCTGAGTTCTGCCTCAGTGGGACTGCTTTTAGGGTTTTAGGGTCTCAGGATCTAAGAGCTGTGTCTCCAGGGAGTCAGACTGTGGCTGCAGGGCTGAAACTGCCCTGTTGGACAAAACCTGGCTGTGCTTTGCTGTGGTTTTGACTCTCTCTCAGTATGAAAATGTTACCTGGGTTCTGGTCCCAGCCTTGCTCGTCCTGGGGTTTTTCCTTAGGACACATCCATTATGGCCTGAGGAAGCTCTGGGCAGGGAGGAATGTGTTCTCCTCACCTCTGTGCTTTCCTGGCAGCCCTGGCAAGCCCTGCTGGGGCTGGCATTTGCTCAGTCCTGAGGCTCAGATCCCAGGAAGGAGAACTTTAGTGCTCCTTTAAAGAGTGGGTGTGATAAGCACTGAGGACATCTGAGCCAAAAGCAGGGCCAGTGTACAAGGCTGCTTGGGAAGGTCATTGTGCAAATGCTGCAGGGAAAGGGCTTTTGTGTAGTTTAGAAGCAGCTCAAGTGATAAGGAGACATAATAATCAACATTAAAAAAAAAATGGCAGGAAGTGACTATTTTCATGTGTGCATAATAGAGATTTACTAAATTAAAAGCACTCTTAGCTCCTGGCTGTTGTGAGGTGAAACTAAAAGTTTATAGAAATATGAGGTCTAGGTTATGTCACCAAATGCTCACAGATTTGTGTATGAAAAATCTTTGTTTTTCTCCAGTTTATTCCAATTCCACATTCAGTTTTAATCAGAAAGATTCTTTACTGATGCTGTTGCAAATCTGGAGTTACAGGTTGTTCTAGACCATGTCGTGCATTTTCTGGGAAATGAAACAATTTTTCATCTCTGTCAGTTTTACTTGAAAGTATTGGCTCCAAAAGCTTTGAAACTTTTCCCTTATTTAAGCTTTCAGCTGATTTAAAATCAGTAATAAAAACATCCTTAGGTTTTATGCTCTCAAAGCAAATGTTTACCTCAGAGTTTGAACACTTTGGCCTGTTGGGCCTGTTTTAATGAAACTTTCCACATTTTTGGGAAAATATTCCAGGATGTTTTGTAAAGAGAAGGCAGCACCAGTCTTGAGTACAGTGATATTAGCAAACATTAGTCTTTTGACTTAAAATCCTGTCAAAATGTAATGTCTGTAGTGGTAGATTTTAGAATTCCTTAATGTAGTGGTGCTTTAAAGTTTGAATATGTTCAAGGTACCTCTTGTTAAACATTTTTTGCTCTCCATCCCCAAAAAAGCAGCAGCATGAGACTATTTTTGACATGACCCTCAGGCTGTCTGTGGTGTTTGTTTTTAAGAAATGAGAAAAATCTGCATTCTTTGCTTCATTGCTGGACATGGATGTTTGGAGAACACAGAATCACAGAAGGGTTTGGGTTGGAAGGGACTTTAGAGGGTTGTTCCAGCTCTCCTGCCACGTCAGGGACACCTTCCACTGTCCCAGGCTGGCCTTGGACACTTCCAGCTGCTCTGGGCACCCTGTGCCAGGGCCTGCCCACCTTCCTAGGGCAGGATTTCTTCCCAATATCCCCTCTGGCAGTGGGAAGCCATTCCCCCTTGTCCTTGTCACTCCAGGTTTCTTTTCCATATTTCCTGCAGCCCCTCCAGGCACTGCAAGGCCACACTTTGGTCACCCCAAAGCTTCTCCTCTCTGGGCTGAGGGATCCCAATTCCCTCAGCCTTTCCTGGTGGCAGAGGTGCTCCATGCCCTGAGTGCCTGGCAGAGCAGTGCCCTGCTCTGGGTGCTGCTCAGCAGTGACTGAGCTGTTCCTTGGACTGCAGGTGATGAGCAGGAGCCAGGCTGTTCAGCTCTCCTGCCATGTCAGGGACACCTTCCACTGTCCCAGGCTGGCCTTGGACACTTCCAGGGGCAGCCACAGCTGCTCTGGGCACCCTGAGCCAGAGCCTCACCACCCTCCCAGGGCAGGATCTCTTCCCAATATCCCCTCTGGCAGTGGGAAGCCATTCCCCCTTGTCCAGGTTCCTTCTCCATGGTTCTTGTTGGCCCCTCCAGGCACTGCAAGGCCACACTTTGGTCACCCCAAAGCTTCTCCTCTTTGGGCTGAAGGATCCCAATTCCCTCAGCCTTTCCTGGTGGCTCCATGCCCTGAGTAGCTGGCAGAGCAGTGCCCTGCTCTGGGTGCTGTTCCTTGGGCTGGAGGTGATGAGCAGGAACCCTTCAGTGATGCTGCTCCAAGGTTTTTAACCCTTGTTTTCCCTCTGTTTAGGGAGTGACAATTCCCAGTCAGAGACGCTACGTGTACTACTATAGCTACCTGTTAAAGAATCACCTGGATTACAGACCAGTGGCACTGCTGTTCCACAAGATGATGTTTGAAACAATTCCCATGTTCAGCAGCGGAACTTGCAGTAAGTACCAGCAGCCCTTCACCTCTGCTAGGGAGCCTGGTGGCATTTGGGATGGGCTGATGGCACCCAGAGCTGCACATCTTGGAGGAAATCACATGGAAACACCTCACAGTCCAAAATCTTTGTGGCTCTGTCCTCTGGGATCTCCCAGGTGAAGCTGTGAAGCACTCAGGATTATTTTACCACATGCAAGTGTGTTAATGGTTTGAAAAGAAGTGATTCCATCTGGAAAAAACCTCCAAGATTGAGTCCAGTCTGTGCCCAATCCCTACCTTGTCACCCAAAGCAGAGCACTGAGTGCCACATCCACTCCACCATTTTATGTACATTTGGGTATTTGTTCCTTACTTTTATGAAAAACCTCCTTTTTTTTTTTTTTTTTTTTTTTTTTTAAACACAGCAACTCTTGGGAAACATGAATTGCTGAAAAACATTTGCCTAATGGCATGTTGGCTTCCAATGCAGCAACATCATTCTTCCCATGATGTTCCAAAAAAAAAAAACATAAATGAATCAGTTCAACTGGGTAAATACCTAATTAACTCTGGAATAAACTTTTCTTTATGTGGAAGTTTTTAAAGCATTAATACACCTGTAAATGATTAATCTCATCTGCTGATACACTGTGTTAGTGAGGAACAGCAGATTTTGTGAAGTTTTGAAATACAAAAACAAATTCTGCTCTGTCCTGTGGGCTGTGTTACAGGGCAGTGACTGCCTTGTGTTGCGTGCTTGGTTTTTGGTGGTGGAAAAAATCTGATGGTTTTGCTTTGGGGATTACAGCAATGTGTAATTAATTCCAGTGCCTCCTGTGGCTTTGATTAAAATTGCCCTGTTAATATTGTTGTGAGGCAGTACCTGAGCATGTAACACACACAAGAAACAATGGAGCAGCTTGTCAGCCTGTACAGGAGGAGGGAGGGAGGAGCCTCTGCCAAAATCCCTCTGCCTTAGGGAAGAGGTGTGCAGGTTACAGATTTCTGCAATTACCACTTATTTCATATTTTGGATGAACTGGGCTGTGTTTTTGAGGCTGGACTGCTTCAAGTGAGTGCTGACTTGTGTGTCCATGGGAGGGTGTTGGGACAGACAGCAGATTGCCCAAGCACCTGAGAAGATAAAATAACTGTCAAGCTCAGCAATTGTATGCTGTAATACTTTAAGTTTCTTTGGAGTTCTCAGTGATTTTTCAGAATGTGAAATCGATGGTGTTGTGTCTTTAGTTGTGTTGGCAGCAATTTTACCAACCTGGTAACTTTGACTCTGCCTTCCTTGGTATCATTCTGCTGCTCTGAAGGTACTGACAGGGCAGAGCCCAGCCTCTAGGGCTGAATGAGGGGGTGACAGAGTTTCACAGCTCTGAGGGTTTGAGGCAGATAAGGGCAGGAAGAGAAGGGTGTGTGGAGACCTCCCAGCACCTTCCAGGGTCTGGAGAGGGATCCTGCAACAGGAGCTGTGGTGATCAACAGGGGGGAATGGCTTGACACTGGCAGAGGGGAAATTCAGGTGAGATACACAGGAATTGTTCCCTGGGAGGGTGCCCAGGGCAGCTGGGGCTACCCCTGGATCCCTGGAGGTGCCCAAGGCCAGGATTTTGGGGCTTTGGAGCAGCCTGGGACAGTGGAAGGTGTCCCTGCCCATGGCAGAGGTGGGAATGGATGGGATTTAAGGTCCTTCTAACCCAACCCATTCTGGATTCTCTGAGCCTGCCAGTAATGGTGTCATCCCTGGGCCCTTCAGCAGCACACTGTGGGTGTGTTTAGCAGCTCTACAGGGCTGTGTCTGACCTGACCATTTCCAAAGCACCTCTTCCTAAACTGGACCAAAACCTCCTTTTATTTAATTTCAGTGTTACCCCATCAGATTTCATTGGGGAAGTGATGCCATGGCTGGCACTTGTCTGGTGCTGGTGATTTATAGGACCAGCTTTGAGGCTCTTCTGATTGGTTTTCAGTTCAGTTTTGTCCTTGTTTTACTTTATTTGTGTAAGACTAGAGTCAGTTTGTGCTGACATGACCAGCCAACAGCTGGAAGAAGAGGTGAGAGAGAATAAAACCTCTCACTTTGGTCTGTGTAATAGAGAGGAGGGGGAAAATGCAAGGAACAGTCAAGTAATTCACATTTTACAGTCATTATATTCAAAAGAAATAACATTTAGGAACTCCCTAGTGGCCTGAAAGTATTGCCATGAAGGACAGAAGTCTCAAGGCTGTTTCCAGTAGCATCTGGCAAAGTTTGATCCCCTGTGGTGTCAAACCCTTAAGAGAAATTTAGCTAACTTTGACAACATCATAGCCCACGATTTTATTTCTGCTACCAATGTTGTGGGGGGTTTTTTTTGCCACTTTGGAGGTTTTTCTCACCAAGTGCCATTCTGTTTTGTCCCACAGATCCTCAGTTTGTGGTGTACCAGCTAAAGGTAAAGATATTCACCTCCCCTTCAGGACCCTCACGACGTGAAGACAAGTACATGTACTTTGAATTCCCTCAACCTCTGCCCGTATGTGGTGATATCAAAGTGGAATTTTTCCACAAACAGAACAAGATGTTGAAAAAGGTTGGTTTCCTTGCTTTTTTTTTTTTGAAAAAATGTTGTCAAGCCAGCCCCTGATGCTTGGGGGGTTGGGATGTTGGTTATTTTTCAGGGATGTGGAATCACGGCGTTTAATTCTTTGATGTCTGGTTTTCCCAAGGAACCAATGGACCACAAAATGAAAGTTGGATGTTTGGGGAGTTGTGAGATTAAGTACAAAGGTTGGGTAAAAATGATCCTGAGGTCTGTATTGCAGTCTTTTGGGTAGTAGTGAGTAATCTAATTGAGGAAGAAACATTCACCTTCTAAAAATAGACTTGCATACTGAGCAAGTTAACTCCAGCTGTTTTCTTCACTAAATTTTCTTGAGGTTTGAGCAGGCACAGAAGATCCTGTCTGTGCTGTTGGCTGATTTGTACCCATCTGTCAAATTTAGCTGAATTTCTGAGATAATTGAGTTCCCACGCACTTTGTAAAAGTATCTCTGCAATCTCTTCACCACCTCTCTGTTCCCAGCTGCAGTGCCTTGACATGAGAGGTTTAGAGAATTCCTTCTGAGCTGAGGATTTTATTAGGGTCTCAGTTGTGGAAAAAAAAAATTAAAAATTAACCTAGGACTTACTTTGAAACCAAAATTAGCCAGTTCTTAAAGCTAAATTCTTGAGTTTCTTTAGTTCTGGTGGTTGTGGAGCCACTTTGGATCTACCAGACTGAAAGGTGAGGATGAGACTGTGCTGATTAAAGGCAACCTTGATATTTGCTATTTAAAACTCCTCATCAGTAGTTCCTCACAGTTGAGTGGAGGTTAGAAAACTTCAGAGCATTCAGTGAGTGAGTTCATAAAAGGAAGAAATGCTCAAGTGGATCAGGAGAAGAGAAGTGATGAGGTAACATCACTCAGAGCTGTGCACCCAGGCTGTACCTGCCAGCTGTGTGTGAGTGAACATGCACACTGTTGTGTGGGCTTGCTTGTGTGAGCAAGTTTAATTCAGGAAGTTTCTGGACATTTCCTTAGTGGCCCTCTTTTCCTTCTCTGCCCGTTTGAGGAGATGTTTGAGTTGGTCAGTGCAGTTATGTGCAGTACAGAGGCTATAAAAGTATTTCAAAAGTAGAAATTCAGTTTCCAAGCTGAGATTATTGACATGCAAGCAGCCAGCTCTGAGAAGAGGCTTCTGCAGGAGCACCCAGCTGAGTACTGTGGGCTGAACATGAGGATGCAGGGAGGAGCTGATGCCAAGCCCCAACATCTGAGACATTTCTCCCCTCTCCTATCTGAGCTGTGAGTTCATTGTTCCTTGCCATCTCCAGTAACACATGGATTGCAGACAGACCTGATGGGAAGTGCTGTGCTGCCCTGCCCATCCCTGAAACACCAGTGTGCAGCTCAGGATCTTGGCTCTGCAGCCCCAGGAACAAACTGCTGGTTTGTTTTACCCCTGGAGATTTGTTTTCAAATTTGTTTTACCCCTGCAGAGAGCACTGAGATGCTGAGACTGTAGTGAGAGCCCCTCCTGAGCACCCACAGTTTGTGCAGTGTGAGTTGGGTCTTCAGGAGGGTGTAGAAGTGCAGAACCACAGCAGGAGCATTTCTGTGCTGGAGTTTCATTTCAGAGAGTCAGAGTGTGGTTTCATTTCTTAAGAATCTTTGTCAATTCTGAGTAGCTGGTTGTTGGGGTTTTTTTTTTGGTGTTGTTTTTTTCCTTTTTGTCTATTCTTATCAGATACCCAAACTGTTTGGGTTCTGTGGATTACAGGTAGTGCAGAGGTGCTCAGTTTCTCAGTGTTTATGGCCAGGTAGAGCCAAAGAAATGGTGCAGGTGGTTCTTTTCCCACTGCAAACTTCTCTGAGATGGAAACTGCTCCTTCATCAACTAGTTAAAAAAACACCTTGATAATCTCTCTAAAATATCTGTTGAATCAAGTGTCTTATTGTCTCAGCTTTCAGTATGAATGGAGGACAGAGAAAATAGGTGTGAGATGTTCCACAGTTGTGGTAAGATCACCTCTGTTAGCTCTGCTGCAAACTCAGGAGCTGATCCTTCCACATGGTCCTTGCACAGGTTGTTGCATAAAGTGAATAAAGTGAGATCAGGGCAGAGGGGACCATTGGTGCCAGAAGATCCTACCTTGGCTCAAACTGAACACATTTCTCTGTCCAGCTGTTCCACATCTGCTCCTGTTCCTTTTCTCTATCAACTATCTACACAACTTTACCCAAAACTGAAGGCCCTCCACTGTGGAGACTGGTATTTTAAAGATCCATTTATGCAATGATCACCTAATTAATGAGAAGCAGCATAATTAGGAGCAACAGCATCTTATCTTTCAGAGATTCTGCTTTATTAACCAGGTTTATGAAAAGTGGAATTTTAAGTCTGTTGCCTGTCACTGGTTCTTGTTCTTCACAGATTTTCTGTTAGCAGATCAGAGGTAGCTGAAGAAGTCTTAAAGACACCCCATGTTGACCAGTGTGCATTTTAACTTTAGCATAATAAAAAACCTAATAATATCGATTAAAAGTGTAATTCCTGCTCCATTCTGAACCTCAGGCTGGAGAATGGCTGTGTCTCATCTCTGGAGATGGAGAAAGCTTTTTGTCCTGCCTCTGGTTTGCTGTTTGATAACACTGATTTCAGCTGAAGTGCCCCAGATTCCCTCACCTGTATTTGCTCCCAAATTTCCCAATCCTTTGAAGAACAGCATTATCTGCAGAGCTCTCTGTAAGGAGGGCCCTCCTCAATTTTGGATAAAATTCTTATCCATAAACCAGACCAAACCTAAATGACTGCAGACACCTAAGGTTGTAGAGTCAGTGTGAGATTTAAAGCAGCCACATGTCCTTTCTTTTAATGGCAAAAGTTAATTTAGGCAAATTCAGTGGCTTTTGGGAGCTGACCTCAGCCACAGGATCATTGGTACAGGGCTGACAGCTCTGGAAAAGTTCATCCCTTCCATGGTTTCTGCCACCTGGTATCAGTTAGGAAGTCCCCAGCTCTTGATCTTTTCTTGTCTAATCAAGTTGTTTACTTTATCCTCAGACTGTTTCTTCAGTGAGCTGTAGCTACTTCCTTTCAAGAATGAAATGCATGCCCACATGAGAACAAAATGGCTTGAGGCTCAAGTGCTGTGACTGTGGATGAATTTCTGATGGGTAGAAGTTTGTAATTTGGGGGATTTTTTTTTTTAACATGGCTTTTTCTTGTAGCTTGACTGTTTGTCCATCTCACACTGCTGCTGTAGTTTTGCTGGGGTTTTTTTGTAGTTTTTCCTCTAGTTTTGCTTCCATGGATCTCTGCAAAGTTTTTTTCTTCCAGTTATTGATGTTGACACGATAATCTGAAAGTATTTCAGAGTATCCTTAGATCACTCGGTTCAATGGGAGCCTGTTTAAAAATAATGCAGAAATCTCCTCATCTTCCTGCCTCCAGAGCCTGGGGCTGAAGGAGACCTTTTTTTGGGAGTCCTCCCAGTACAAATGAGAGGGAAATGTTGATGTGGGTTTAATTTGTGAGAGTCAGTGGTGTTTTATCCCCAGACTCCAGCGTGGGAGGGCTGACAGCATTGTTTGAGCAGTTGCATTTCATCTCTCCAGCCTAGAGATAAGTTGTGCTGCAGAGTTCAACAAGACTTTGGGCAGTTGCTGTTAAGCAAACGCTGAGGAATGAACTCTGAAAATGTCAGAAGACTCAGTGTTGATCTGCAGAATGGTACAGGAAGTTCCATCAGGGGAACAGGCTGAACCAAGATCCCCATTCTTGGAGAGCATCCCCAGCCCCTCAGCGGGTGCTGCACACTCACTGCGAGTGCCTGGGGATCTCTCTGCAAAACTTAAACTCTCAGGAGGACATGGGAACTCCTGATTGATGCCTTAAATCTGGGATTTGGATCCCAGTCTGCAGCTAGAGACCAGCTCTAGAGTGGAGAATGTTTTTCTGTCAGTCTGAGGCACTGCACGAGGTGGGGACAAGCACTGTTTGTCAGAATTGTGGGATTAAATCAGCCTCTGTCTCATCTGATACTGCACTGGAGATTTATGGCACAGATTTGGTTATGGGAAGAAGTACATCTGTGGTTTATTTTTTTTTTAAGACAGATGTCTGTGATGTAACTGGAAGTGAAGCAAAACACATTGAAAAACAGCCTCTAATACTTTTTTTTTTTTTTTTCAGAAGTCTATTCATTAACTTGTGTTATGTGAGCACTTGGTCTGGTATTTTGATTTGCTATATAAAGCCTGAGTTCAGTTCATGCCTTGATTTTTAAAATTCCTATCTTTGGCCCATATTACATCATCTTTCTTCCTTGTCTCCCATGAAATATCTTGGGTCCTGATGCTTCAGCTAAATCCTCACTTTGAATAATGGATTTGCTCTTCAGTGAAAACAGTGACACAGTTATCAGCCTTAAGAACTAATTCCAAAAAACATGACCAAGTCTTCCCTTAATTTGAGTGGCCATGCCATGTTCCAAGACCCATGAACTCAGTTTATTAGGCTAATTAAGTTGTGCAGTGGGAAGGAAAGAAAAATAACTTGATGCTTTAAAAAGCTGGAGGGAGATAAAAGGAGAAATGACCAGCTCATCTGAGCTGTAGTGTTTAGTTTGAGTCCCTGAAGACCTCTGCAAATTTGTCCCAAGGAACAGAGATTAAAAGCTGTCTAGGGAGAGGTTTGTGAGTCCCCCCAGCCCTTGAAGTGCCAACTGAATCCCTCCTGGTTGTGCACTCTTGGAGCTGAAGGTGAGGCATGACAAAACTCTGCCTTCTGCTGGCACTGATTCCATCCAGGGCCTCCTCTGTGGCACTGGGGACCAGCACCAGAGGGGTTTCAGCAGGAAAGTGCTGCTTGCCTCTGGTTTGACCTCAGCAGGAGTGAGCCTCTCCATCTCTTTGGGGTTTTTTCTGAGGAACTCACTGTGTGGGTGAGGAGAAACCTGGCTTGGGGTACCCTGAGCTTGTCTTCACCCAGATTTTAGCTGCTGCTTCTTCCTCTGGGGCAGAGACATCAGCAGAGTGAACCCAGGATATTCATCCTCAACTCCAGGCCCAAGCAGGGAATTTTTAAGGCTTTTCTTGGGGAAAGAGCAGGGTATGAAATGTGTAAGCAGGGCCTGGCAAGAACCATGGAAGGGCTCCAGCAAGGCTTCTTCAGAGGTGGGGTGGCTTGAAGGGACTCAGTGGCAGTGGGAAACATCTTTTAGACTCCCCAAACAACTCATTTGCTAGATTGGATTCCCAAAGTGCTGCAGACAGGCACGTGGTGAAGTGGGGAACTCAGCTACCAGAAGTGTTCCTGGCTGGATTTTTAATTTCTGTCCTGCCTGGGGTCTCTCAGGTGCTTACAAAAATGCAGACAAGCTGGAAGTGGTTTTGTAGGCTTTACCTAAAATACTGAAAATGAGTCTGCTGACCTTTGGCAGAGAGGAACACTTGTGAATTCCCAGTATCCTGTTGAAATAAATTTTTGAGGAGGATGAGTGTGAGTTAAGTAGTGCAGCTCTTCCCTGCATTCTTTCATTGGCTCAGGAAAATGCTGTGGTATTTTGCTGGTGCCAAACTGCCTTCAGCAGGAGGCCTGCTCGTGTCACATACACTGGAACCACTTCTGTTCCACCTCTCATTTCCCCCCTGCTTCCTTACCAGCAGAGATGAATGGGAAGATAGGGCAGGACATGGATTTTCCAGTAAGAAATTGGAATTAGAGCTCCTTGGTAAACCAAAATATGTAAGTTACTCAGAAGGAGTGAGTTTGTGCTCTGTGTAATACCAAGGAATGTTAGGTTCTGCTTCCTTTCCCTGCAGCTTTAGCAGCAATACTGACCCTTGTGGGAGGAACTGGCCATTTGCACCTTGGATCTTGAGCCTGAAAAGGCACTTCAGAGTCAAAGAGAAGATTTTGTGTGTAAAGAGCAAGTGGATGTAGCTCAGTGTCAGTCAGAGAGAGGGGTTTGGTGTGCCAAGGAGAGCTGACCTTGGAAACAGCAGCTTGGGGCTGTGGCAGAGTGGAGAATCAAACTGCTCAAGGTCATCTCTCAAGTTCTGCTTGAGCTGAACCTCCTTCAGCTGCCTTGGCTTCTCCCTAAAAACTTCCTGCTGGACAGGACAGCAGGCACTGGCTCTGCCTTCCTCTCAGTGCTGCTCAGCACAGCTCTGGCTGCATGGAAGCACCCATGAATCCTTTACTGATTTGTGGTTTTGCTCAGTTGTAGCTATTTCTGTATAAAAACAAGACAAGCTTTCTGTTACAGGGGAGATTCAGTATTACTCACCTCAGCTGGTTCACACAGGTTGTCTCTTGGGTTTAGGGATTGCTTGGCAAGTTGTGAGCAAAAAATAAATCTATTTATGCCTTGTGATTGCAAGTTTAAGTTTATTGAATTTATTATCATCTGTTTTTATTGAAGATATAATAGTTTTAAGCTTAGCTCTCTGAGTGACTTCTAAAAGCTTAATTGGTTAAAATTGAGCTTGATGAATGCAGATTTATGTGTGTTGTCCAGGAGATGTGGTGAAAATGTCTTTGCATGCAATGTAACAAATGCCATACTGTTGTCCAACCAAGTTTTGCCTGATATTACAAATCTGTTTTTGACCAGATGCTGATAGCAGTCTAATTAACGTGCCATTAGTGAATACTAAAACAAGCTTGTTTTCTGTGTTCTTCCTCCCCCAGGACAAAATGTTTCACTTTTGGGTAAATACATTCTTCATAGGACTGGATGAAAATTCAGACAAAGTAGAAAATGGAAGTCTAGTTGCAGATCAGGAACTTGATGGTATTTTCAGTACAGAGCGCTCAGATAATGATAAGGAATATTTAATCCTTACATTAACAAAAAACGATCTAGACAAAGCAAATAAAGACAAAGCCAACAGATATTTCTCTCCAAACTTCAAGGTCAGTATATTTTATGTGTGAACAAAGCTGAAAAGCTGCATGATTTGTTTGTTTTGCCTTTGGAGGGACCATGTGAAACTGTTGTGTAGAAGCTGAGTTCACGTGTTGGTATTGCCATCACTTAGCAAAGCTTTGAGCTTTATGCTTTTATCTGCTTTTTGGGGAGCTGATGCATGTTGAGAGGCTGGGGTTGAAGTCTTCAGGTTGTTCCAGGTGTTTGTCAAAGCCATCAGAGGTTGGGAGAGCTGCTGGCCAGGTGCCATCTTCCCTGCCTGAGCTGTGGGCTGGGCACACTGAGCTCCTGAGCTGGTTTGCAGCTGTGCCATGGGAAGCACAGGGGGCCACAAGGATGATCTGAGGAGAGGAGCTGGGCCTGGCCAGTCTGGAGAAGGGAAGGCTGAGGGGGGATCCCATCAGTCCACACAGACATCCCCAGGGTCTGGCAGAGGAGGGTGCCAGGCTCTGTTCTGTCACTGTTCCAGTGACAGGATGAGGAGCAAAGGCCATAAACTAAACCACAAATTCCCCCTCAACACGAGGAAGAACTTCTTTCCATGAGTGTGGCAGAGCCCTGGAACAGCTGCCTGGGCAGGGTGTGGAGTCTCCCTCTCTGGATTCACCCCAAGCTCACCTGGAAATGCTCCTGTGCCTGGGCAGGGGCTTGGGCTGGATCATCTCCAGAGGTCTCTGCAAGCCCAGCTGTCCTGTGATTCTGGGAATACCTTACTTACCCTGGCACTTGAGCTTTGGGGAGTATGAGCCATTGCCAGCAGTGTTTTAAACATGCAAAAGGCATTTCTAAGATTCCAGCATTTTCTGACTTCCTCATTAAAGATCAGCCAGAGCTCGTTTGAAGGTAATGGTCATAGCTTGGAATATTGCTTGGGTCAGACTTCCCACACAAGAGTCACCCATTAGAGAGGGTTTTGTTCACTCCTGTGCACTCTTGCTGCAATCTCCTGGTGCTCTGGGAGTTGGGGAAGGCAGGAGGGTGTGCTGGGGTGTCCTGCTGCTGCAGCTCAGGAGCACCTGAGCACTCAGCCAGACACAATTCCTGCAGCTGGGCTGGAAAATCCTGCTGCTTTGCCAGGGGTGGAATTGAGAGGCTGGCAAACCTCTCTCTGGGGAGAGGAGCACGGGTGTGACTCAGGGTAGCCAGGACCTGTGCTGTTAAAAATTGCTCAGTTAAATCCAGGTTCCCTTTTTAAATGTTGTTTTTTCCTTCCCCAGGTGAAGCTATTTTTCACAAAAACAGTAGAAGAGCCATCAAACCCAGAGGCTAGCAGTTCAACTTCTGTAACACCAGATGTTAGTGACAATGAACCTGATCATTATAGATACTCTGACACCACTGACTCTGATCCAGAGAATGAACCTTTTGATGAAGATCAGCATACGCAGATTACAAAAGTCTGAATATTTTTTTTATCAGAGATAAAAAAGAACCATACAAAAAAAAAAAAACATGAAGACAGACAAACTTGAATAAACTGAAAAAAAAAAAAAAGGACCTTTCTAAATGGCAAAAGGACATAGTGTCAGATTACCAGTTATAGGAACAATTCTTTCCTGACCAATCTTGTTTTGCCCTACAAATCTACAGGGTTTGACACTTGTCCAGTCGGGGGGGTTAAAGAAAGGTTACGTAGCTCTTATGTATATACCTTTTTGTGTCAAAGGACATTAAAACTTCAATTAGGAACTATAAACATGGCACTTTCCCATTTTATTCCAGTTTTATAAAAGTGGAGACAGACCTAATGTGTATGCGTAGGAATTTTTCCTTTTGTGTTCTGTCACCAAACGAAGTTTCAAAAACCGAAAAGAAAAAAAAAAAAAATTTTACAGGTTCACATCCTGCCCCTTTTTTTGCACTTGTGTGGCAACAGAAAAGTCTGCAGTTGGCTAAGAGATGTTTCTAGAAGGTTTTTCCTACATTCTAATGCATGTTTTTTGGATGGGGGCTGGAAGGTGATGCTCGGAAAGGAGCGTGGCCTGTGTACCGTGTCCGGCTGTTCCATGCACCTTTCCTCAGCATGCTGCCCTAATTCATCCGGGACAATGGGTGAGGAGTCGCCGCTGTCACTGCTTGTTGTTTGTGCATTTTTCATTTTTTTTAAGTGTAATGGTGCTAGAAAAGGCAGCTAGAGAGAGTGATTCTGTCTAGGGGTACAGGAATGAACCTTCACGACACCCACGAGACCCGCGCTATGAAGGGAGACAAGGAATTGGGGTCACGAGAAACAAAAACAAACAAACAAAAAAAAACAGCAAAAGGAAACACAGCAACAATGACTTAACCATACAAATGTGGAGGCTATCAACTAAAGTAAGAGCTTGAAACAAATGGTTACCAAATTAGACAATGATTTATTGGGATTTTTTTCTGAATTGTAATGGCTGCTCCATCTCCTGTGTAATCAAGGCCAGTGCTAAAAGTCAGATGCTCTTAGTGCAAAAACATCAGTCAACATCTTACATTTATATTAGTAGTTTTTCAATCATATTCCTGCTGTGAATACTTCATGTGCTGCCTTGCAAGCTTTATTTTTTTTTTTTCCCTCTCATGAATATAAAAAGATTTTGTAATGGTGCACAGGAAATGTCATTGGAGATTCTCCAGGTTAGTGTTTGTTTGGAAGATTTCTGATGCATTTATTCAATCAAACCTCTGTCAGCTGTTCCACCCCTTTGACCTTACACATTCTATTACAATGAGTTTTGCAGTTTTGCACACTTTTTTTTTTTTAAGAAAAAAAAAAAAGTCATTAACTGTTAGGGAATTTTACTTGAATACTCATTACCTGCAATGTTTAAAAAACGGACATTACACACCAGAGACAGGAAACCAGTGTTGCAGTAAATTCTCAACGCTGTAAATGAAGATTAAAAAGCAGAACTTGTCCCAAATATATTACTATCAAAAACAACCCCTCAAAGCACCCAAGAAATTGTTTTTCTAAGCCAAGTGGCAGTGTTGGATTATTTGTTCCTAGGGTAGGGCTCAAAGTTGGCTTCTGGTGGATGATTGTCATGCCCAGCCCGAGGTGGCTCAGGAGTCCAGCTGCTGGCACATCCAGATGTGAATGGGCCATGAGCAGCTGACCCCAAATTGATGCTTTTTTTTTAGGGTGCAGTACACACATCCCCCTGCTTAATTAACTTCTTGGTGCTGACATGGAAGTTCATGAGCTGTGTTCTCAGCCAGAATTATGAATGGGATCTGTCAGAGCCCTGTACAGCAGCATTAATGGTTGGAATTTGAACCACACAAGGCAGGACTTTCACTAATTACAATTGGGAAACTGAGGTGTAAAGGGCTTTTAAAGATTTTTTTTTTTCCTTACCTGGTTTCTGTTGGTCAATTCTGCTCCTCAGATTCATGATTCTAACTTCTAACAAAGCTGGTAATACCTTCTGACTTACAGGTTTCATTAGACTTTAATGGATCAAGGTTCAGTGCTCATTGTGACGAGCAGGAGGTGGTTTTCCCTTGGGAACAGGAATTTTAACTCTTACCCTTCCAATCGTGTTTTCACCCTGTCTGGTTTATAACAGTTGAAAGTTGTGTTGTGCTTAAATAAAGCCAAGTGCTCGTGCTTGGATAGTGTTGGGATCTTGGCAGTGCTGCGTGTCCCACTTTGGATAATCAGGATTGGATGGTGCAGCTCCAGTCGGTGACGCCGGATCGGGAATCAGGACGCAAGGATGGGCTTTTGCACTGTTCTTTTTCCTTTGGAATGTGAAGGTTGGAATGAGGGTTTTTGGTTTTTTGTTTTGTTTTTTTTTTTTAATTTTTTTTTTTAATGTTTCGACGTCTTTGAGAAGCCTTGCTTACATTTTATGGTGTAGTCATTGGAAATGGAAAAATGGCATTATATATATATATATTATATATATAAATATATATTATACATACTCTCCTATACTTTATTTCAGTTACCACCCCCATAGAAGTTGACAAGAATTGCTATGACTGAAAGGTTTTTGAGTCCTTACTAAAACTTTATTTATGACAGTATTCATAATTAGCTTGAGCTGCATTCTCTAGGTAATCTTTCCTTGAGTTTCCAGACTGTAGGCTTCAGCCTGTTGGGATGTGCAAGAGCTTACATGTCTGAAACTACTTGAAGGCATCACTTTGGTAAGAGCTTAACTGTAAAGGCCCTGAAGCATCCCCTGGGCTTGGGCAGCCCCAGTGGAAATCTTTGCCACAGCTCCTCCAGGGCAGCTGTGCAAAATCAGCCTCCAGATTCCTCCCCGGGGCACACATTGTAAACTGAAGTGGAGTTTACATGCAGCATCGAAATTAGCTTTCCAAATTCAAAACAAAACAAAAAAAAACCACCACCTTGAAATAATCCAAGAAGAGGATGCTGGTGTGCAAGTTCCATGTTTAGTCCTAGCAAATGTGTGCAATATGTTAACGATGCCTGTGGTTGCCACGAAGTGCCTCGTTTACCTTCTCAATACTGTTGGAAAGTGTCGTGCATGCAGATGGATGGGGTGGGACTGTGCACTAAAAGGGGCTCCAACTGCAGCGTTTTGGCAGAGCTGCCTTTCTCTGCCACTTCAAATTTTCCAGTCTGTTTTCATATAGCATATATATATATAGATACTAAAAGAAAAAAAAAAATCAGTCTGTTAAGCAGCCTTACTCTGATTCAGCCTCTTCAAATACTATTGTGCTGTGCAACAGTGGCTCTGTGTGTAACTGAGAATACACAAAAACCAAGTATGACATGTACAGGATAATGCCTCATACAAATCAGATGTCCGTTTGTTATTGTGTTTAACAACCCTTTATCTCTTAGTGTTAAAACTCCACTTAAAACTGATTAAAGTCTCATTCTTGTCACTGTGTGGGTGTTTTATTGCAGTGTTCTGAGCTTGGCAAACAGCTCACACGTTGTGCTTGTAAAGCTGTGGAATTTGGAGCCGAGGGTGCTCCTTGTGCATCCAGGGATTGGCAGGGAGCTGCAGCTCCAAAGGCTGCTGAGGTTTGAGCAGGGCAGCAGTGGAACTCCAGATGTGTGCAGGGATGTCAGACCCTCACTTGGGTGTCCTGCTGAGGGGCAGGGGCACCTCCTGGGGCATCAAACCACACAAGCAGTGTGGTTGTGCCTGTCCCCAGTGCCTGAGGAGCTGCAGGAAAGATGGAGACAGACTGATGACAAGGAAAAGGGGAATGGATTCCCACTGCCAGAGGGATATTGGGAAGAAATCCTTCCCTGGCAGGGTGGGCAGGCCCTGGCACAGGGTGCCCAGAGAAGCTGTGGCTGCCCCTGGATCCCTGGCAGTGCCCAAGGCCAGGCTGGATTTTGGACCTTGGAGCAGCCTGGAACAGGGGAAGGTGTCCCTGCCCAAGGTACTCGCTGGACTTTGAGGTCCCCTCCCTCCCAAACCAGTCTGGGATTCTCTGTTTAGTCTCCAAGAGAACTTAATTAAAAATTCACCTTGTAAATGAGGTAATGTTGCATCTGCTGCATGATGAGAGCTGAATCCCACCTGAGAATTCTTTTCCTGAAGTAGCTTTACATTGACAAGGAGAGATGCATTTTTCCCTACAGAATCATAGGATTGTTGAGGCTGGAAAGGCCCTTTGAGATCATCAAGGCCACTCTCAGATGAGGTCAAGTAGCTAATTTTGGGGTTCTGGTCGTTTGGCTGTTTCCAAGCCAGATTTTAAAGTGGCAGCTCAATCCTAGGAGGAGTTCCCTGTTCCCAGGGTTACCCTGGGCCTGCAGGGCTCTCAGAGGGGTGGGGAGGTGACTTCAGGTGGCTCTTGTCACTCCTCCATCCTTCCCTCTGCTGCTAACACCAGCCCTGGCCCACGTTTGGCTGAGCATCCCCAAAAATCTCCACTTCTGGTGGGGCAGGGGAGGTTTGGGGGGCACTGTTGGCCAGGTGGGGTTTGCACCTCAGCATGTGCTGCTGCCCAAAGCTGTCAATGCGTGTTGACATTGACAACTGAGCTTGGTTTGCATCCAAAAAAATGAAATGAGGGTGGGAAGAGGCAGAGGAAGGGCAGGAAGCTCAAAGGAGAGTGGTTTGAACAGGGTTCAACATGATGAGGAGTTGCTGTAAATACAGAGATCTCTCTCTATGAAAAGATTCTGCTCTGGAGACAGAAGTGCTATGGGCAGAGGATTTATATTTATTTGACTTTTACACTCTTGTCCCATTGACTGAAAGTCCCATGGGCCAGCCCCCAGCAGCTAAAGGTGGTTTCTAAGCAAAAAATGCTCCTTTTTCCCACTCTGGTGACCCTTGTGGTGACAGAGCTTCCCAGGGAGGTGCTGGGTGCCAGCCCAGAGGACAATCCCAGTGCTCTCCATGTCCTCTGAGCCCCTCCAGCTCCAGGGCCTGCCGGAGCTTTCCCAAGCCCAGGGAGCAGCAGCTCAGTTCCATCAGGTCCCTTTCTAGGTGGTTAATAATTCATTGTGTCTTCTTTCAAAGCTGCAGCAGAGCTATAAATTGCACTCTTTAAAGAAGGAAAGATGTTGGTAGGACAATTTTGAAGTGTTTTTCCTGCAACTGGTTGGTTCTTCTTTGGTTTCTTGTCATCCTCATTCTTTGGTGTCTTCTCAAACCCCATCTTTCCACATCTGTCCCTGGTAATTCTGCTCCTTTCTTTTTTTTTTTAATTTTTTTTTAATTTTTCCTACACAGTCCTGTGCTAGGCAGATGAGCAAATCCCTTTATTTTGAACTGATGGGCCCACTAAAATAAAAACCCTTACTTGTTTCTTTGCCTTTTGCTCCCTGTTCTTTTGCTCCTTTTCCTAGTTAGGCATTTCTTATGGCATTTCATTGTTTTTGCATTTTTCCATGTGTTTTCTCACATTTCCCACCTATCTTCTGTGCTTTCAAACTTCTCAGCCACTGCTCTGTGTTGCAATATAGGACAGGTAATTATTTTATGCCTGGGGTTTTTTAGGGTTTTTTTTTTTAATTTATTTGTTTGGTTGTGGTTTATTTTTACCTTTTTGTCCACCAAGCTTTATTCTGAAGACCTAGCAAGAAGAAACACTTTTAGGGTGCCTTTTTTTTAAAAAAAAAAAAAAGAAAGAACAGCTCTGAGAAACGTCAGGGTTGTGCAGGTTCAGCAGATGTGTTTGCCTTGGTGAGCTCCTGGTGCTCTGCACAACCCTGGATGTGTTTATCTGGTCTAATGGGAACAATGGGACTTGTGATGAGCAACCTGAATTAAAAAAAAATTGCTAATGAACTACTGGGCTACACTTTCCAGCTGCAAATGTTGCTCTATGGGCTGTACTGGCTACAGAAATATTTTTTAAAAAGGAGTTTAATGTGGTTTATTTTTATTTTTTTTGAGGGCTCCTGTGCTTGGTAATTTACTTTGTCTCCCATGACTAAGCCCTGAAATAAATTCATGGTTTTTCTTTGTGATTTCCTGTTCATGGAGAGGTTTTAAGCTGATAAAAGGTGATCTTTCAGAGGCTGAGCTTTGTGCTTTAAATTACCCTTTGTGTAATTCAGGCTGCTTCAGGCCCTACTGGTGTTTTTTTGGCCTTTAACAAAATAATTGTAGCATGAAGGTGATGTGGGGTCTGGGAGAGGCTGAGAGCAGCTGGGAAATGCTGGAATGAGGAATTCCAGCAGCCTGCACAGAGAGATCAGGGCTGCCCCATGGCAGCAGGAAAAAATGGGAAGGATTCTGTCATGGAAATCTGTGCAGGAATGAGCCTTTAAAAGGGAAATTAATGAGTCTGGAGGAGAAGGCAGCAAAGGCTTTAATGTAAAGCAGGGTTTGGTAATGGGAGAGTGAAACCTGGTGGGTGGAGGTATGGAACTTGTGAGGAAAGGGGTGATGGCACATGTTTATAGAGATTTGCTGGGCTTCTGCAAGGATGGGATGGAGCAGCTGATGAGAGGTGGCTGAGAGGCAGCTGGAGGGAGGGAGATGCCTTTGGGAGGTTGGCTTGGGGATCCTCTGCTTTAAAAAGTGTTTGAAACTATGGAAACAGGAGGGCTGACAGCTCCAGACTGGAGTTGGGACTGCAAGCAGCTCAGGAAAACGCTGGGATTTGCGTTGGAGGATGGGAAAGATCAGCAGTGAGAGGAGACTGATAACATCCACTCAGCACACAAAAAGGAGTGAGTGCTGGTTATTCCCTTCCCTGAAGAGCAGCTCTTGGGAAGGATTTGGCTTCTCCCTGAAATCTGAACGTGCAGAAAAGCAGCTCTGGCCCGTGGTTTTTGAGTGTTTGAAGGTTCAGGGGTTCTCAGGCCTCACTCACCCTTCAAACCAGCCTGGGGAGGGCTGGGGGCTTCCTGGAGAAGCTGCAGCCCCCCAGGAAAGGGAAGGGCTGGAAGCTCCAGTGAGCTGAGGAACACAGAGCAGTGACAAAAAGCCAAATAGGAAGGCTGGAATTGTTTTCACCCCAGCTAGTCCATCCTCTTGGTTTATAATTTGTCTCTTTTGTGTTGAAAGGAAAGAAAAGCTTTGCACAAGAGCCCCCAGCTCAGGTGTTTGTGCCTTGAAGCAGGAGAAGGGATGGCACCCAGCGTGTCTGTGTCCTTCTCTGGGGCACTCCAGGGAATGCTCTGCCTTCCCCTGAAGGTTGGAGCACAGAAAAAAAGACTCTGCAAGGGGAATTTGCCACCTTCATCTCTTTGTCAGCTCCCCCTGACAGACTTCACTCCCCAAGAGCAAGATCTGGAGAGTTTATTGTGGAGGAGCGTGAGCAGAGCTGCCAGACTCTGACACTCACACAGGATAAAGCTCTACCTACCTGCTGGACAAAAACTGAGCCTTGGCCAAGCATCTCCTGAGCAGTATCTGCAGGTGGGAGTGTGAATGACCCTCAGCCAGCCCAGTGCTCATGGTGTGGCCTTTGTGTCCTTGCTGAAGGTCCCAGCGGTTTCCTCCATCCATCATCCATCCATCCATCCATGCATCCATCCATCCATCCATCCATCCATCCATCCATCCATCCATGCATCCATCATCCATCCATCCATCATCCATCCATCCATCCATCCATCCATCATCCATCCATCCATCATCCATCCATCCATTATCCATCCATCCATCCATCCATCCATCCATCCATCCATCATCCATCCATCCATCCATCCATCCATCATCCATCCATATCCATCCATCATCCATCCATCCATCCACCCATCCATCATCCATCCATCCATCCATCCATCCATCCATCCATGCATCCATCCATCCATCCATCCATCATCCATCCATCCATCCATGCATCCATCCATCCATCCATCCATCCATCCATCCATCCATGCATCCATCATCCATCCATCCATCATCCATCCATCCATCCATCCATCCATCATCCATCCATCCATCATCCATCCATCCATTATCCATCCATCCATCCATCCATCCATCATCCATCCATCCATCCATCATCCATCCATCCATCCATCCATCCATCCATCCATCCATCATCCATCCATCATCCATCCATCCATCCATCATCCATCATCCATCCATCCATCCATCATCCATCCATCCATCCATCCATCCATCCATCCATCCATCCATCATCCATCATCCATCCATCCATCCATCCATCCATCCATCCATCCATCCATCATCCATCCCTCCATCCATCCATCCATCCATCCATCCATCCATCCATCATCCATCCATCATCCATCCATCCATCCATCCATCCATCATCCATCATCCATCCATCCATCCATCCATCCATCCATCCATCCATCATCCATCCATCCATCCATCCATCCATCCCTCCATCCATCCATCATCCATCCATCCATCCATCCATCCATCCATCCATCCATCATCCATCCATCATCCATCCATCCATCCATCCATCCATCATCCATCCATCCATCC